AAGCAAAATAATTAAGAAAAAATCATTCATAGAAATACACACTCATGAAAATGTAATAGCACAGGGAAGAAGCCACTAAAATGTAACAGATGTAGAAAAAAGATCTGAAAATGTAAAGCTCTGTAAAATGCAAAGTTTTTACAATGAATAAACATGCATTATCTATTAGATCAATTTTTTCCTATATAAAGTATATACAGCGGGGAAATTTTACATACTATTCACTATGTTTTTCCATGAGGCAGAACTGCATATTGTTACAAGTATTTATTATGAACAAAATCAAGGCAGCATCCAGGCTTATTCCTTTATCCACTTACTTACTGGAAAATATACGTCTCTATATGTTGATTATCCTGCCATTCAAGTTTAGAATCCTCATTCCTCAATAGGAATAAAAGAATATGGGGCTGCTAGAGCCTTGGCATTTGGTAGTATAATAATTTCATGCAAATTTTGAAATTATTCAAAACTACTTTTGAAGAAATATATTGCTGGTTTTACCAGGAATTCCAGCCATTCTTCCTGGAACACAAGCTTCAGGTTGTTCTCAAAATTACAAAGTCTTACTATAAATGATTTCATTGCGGGATGGTAGATCCCTGATGACTGATTATATATTGGAAAACATGATAATTGATATTAAATGGTCATTTTACATGTGAGAATTCTGTGGCCTGAAAGTATTCTCCTTGAACCTATTTGTGGATTTCAACTACCCAAAGATTGCATACTATTATGTAATAGCAGAGACTGAATTTTAACAGTGTTATTTGGGACATATTATCTCTAGAGTGGCATAGTCTCTGTTGCAATTTACACTCTTAAAACACTAAAAAATCTCCACCGTTCTGCCCAAACCAGATTAAAACAATAGCAACAACAACAAAACAACTCCATTCCATCAGAGTTCGTCAATAAGGCTGAATTTTACATTTGTCCTCCCAAACATGTTCTAACTACTTTTCCTCTCATTGCTGGATTTGTCTACATTGTCTACATCAGGGGTCACCAAATTTTCGGATTGCAGGGACCATTAAATTCATAATTTTAAATCCCGTGAACCACTAATATGACCTGCCTAATGACTGGCTAGGTGGTCATGTGACTGGGTGGGCATGGGTCAACTCGATGTCACTCACATCGAGGGGTGCCTCAACGGCCTCTACTCCCCCCTCCCCTCCCAGCCCCTCCTCCTCTGCCCACCTGGGCTCCTTAAGGCCCCAACGGGAAGCAGTTGTTGGAGCTAAGCAGCCACCACGAGAAAGAGTTGGCAAAACAGCTGGCTCAGTTCAAATTGGATCTGACCAAGAAGGAGGCTCAGCAGAAGCACCTCGCTGAGGACTATGAGCATAGGCTTTCCAAGCAGAAGGAAGACCTGCGGGAGTGCAAGGCCAAGTACTGGCGCTTGGAGGCTCAGCGGGCCAGCCAGTTCCAGCCATGTTGTAGTCTGACTGGAACAAGGTCCTCTGGCTCTTTGCCACTAGCAGCGCTTCCCTCCAGCCTTCGCCCAAAGCCCCACATCAGGAGGCTGAAGCAGACCCCAAGTCAGAATTTCTGCCCCCGTCTGACCCGCACAAAAAGACCCTGAAGGGGGAGGCTCTCTGCAGCAACACAAACATTCATTGCACTTATCTGGCCCAGGGGCTGTAGTTTGAGGATTTAGTGCAATATTAATAATGCAAATAATTTTTCTGCGGACCACTGATTTTTTCTCACGGGCCACCAGTGGTCCACGGACCACCAGTTGGTGACCACTGATCTACATAGTCCACTGACTTAGCAAATCTATCATTTGTAGGTTACTATTTCTTCTATTCATATGGGCACAAAAAATTCCCCAGGTTCTTGACTTCTATTGTCTAGGTTCAATTAAGGACAAATTAGCAGTTTTTACTATCATTTTATTTTGCCCAAACATATCATATATTGCTTCTTTTGCTATTGCATTTAAACTAAGGGTCAATACTTGAAGGATATTGATAAGATGCAAAGGATATTTAATTACTTAACATGGCAAATGTTCCGTACATAGTATCTCATAGAACACTGAATTGATTGTTTGGCTGCTGCCAACCTTCTTTTTACACGCTATGTTTATTGAATGTGGATGAGATTCAGTTTTAAAAGGCAAAACATTTTAATTCCCTAAGGTAAAAATATAACTCTTCAGCTAAGTTTCTTTCAATAAGAATTTATTATAGACATTCATAAAGGGATAATTGCAATACAGATAGAAAAGTCTAGAGTTTACAATATCTAGATTCCAACTCTACTGAAACAGGACACAATCACCACCTTTAAGTAAAATATGAATGAACACTGATTTGTGCCTGAAGTCAGCATTAAACTTGAATGATTAAATAACACTGATGCTTTCAGTACTGCCCTGTATGACACAAGCACATAATCTGCTACATGATTTAGAGAATTGCAGTTCTTTACTTAAAGGTACAATAAATAAAGACATAACCTTCCTATGTACCATATTTTTTGGAGTATAAGACGCACCGGAGTATAAGATGCACCTGCCTTTTTTGGTGAGGAAAAGAAGAAAAAGAAATCTCCCTCTGCCTCTGAGCAATTTTGCAGCAAACAGCAAACAGCCTGCTTTATTTTCATTTTCATTTTCAGCATAGCTTGATTAGCACAAGGAAAAAAAAAATCTGCTCCAGTAATTTACCTGTTTACAGCAAGAAGCAGAGCCCTGTGCAAAACAGCTGAGAGCAAATCAGCTGAGAGTCAGAAGGCAGATCCAATCAACTTGTGCTAATTAGACTGTGCTGAAGCTGAAATGAGCTGTTTTTTCTTGCTGTTGGCTTGCAAGGAGGTAACTGCTGCGAGGCAGAGGCCAAAGGGTGGGGGCCAGTGGGTGGGCAAGGCTACATTTGGTGTATAAGACGCGCCTAAATTTTCACCCCTTTTTAGGGGGGGAAAGGTACGTCTTATACTCCGAAAAATACAGTATATGTTTACTGTTTACCATGTAACTATTTTCTGTTCTTAGTTAATGCATGTAAGAGCAAGAATTTTAATAGTTTATAAAAAATAACTATGACAGCAGTTAACTGTTAACAGTTAATTAGACATGCAAGGAACAAGTCCATATTTAATGCAGTTTACAGATTTGTATTACAAATTGTTTCTGTAAAATAAACTTTGTTTATGCAAAAAAAGTAGTTAATTATTCAAATTAATATTTCATTGTATAAATTATAAACCTGGAAACATTCCAAAAACTGTCATTCTTTTGAAATTTACTGTCTAAACTAGCATCTATTACATGAAATATATACATTGAAATAACTATTACAGAAACACATTCATGTTCTTTGAAATTATTTATGTGGCAACAATGGTAAAGTAATAAGGTCTGAAAAATACCCCTCCTTTTCCCCTCAAATTATGGGCATGATGAATTAGTGTGTAATATATATAAGCAAAAAAGTCCAAAACATTTTCTATGGGGATAAAAGTTTAAGATTACGCTGTACAAAGTGACAGTGAAAAACTGTGACTCCCTGATTTTATGGGTTGTACACATCCAGTTTTTCTTGTTATATTAACTTTGTTCAAAGCATAGCTGGGCTGATCTCACTACACAGCAATTTTTATTTTTTTTGTGTGTTTTTGCTATATCTTTTCTTTCAGCTTGAAGGTATATTGAACTTGGAATAGAAATAATGTGGAAAAGAACAACAATACAAGCTATTCCCTTCTCCTTTCCTCTTTCATGTTATTCTTTTCCCATACAATTCCCCATATAATGTGCACCTTCCTGTGCTGTTAAAATTATACTATGTAAATGTTATGAATTGAGACAAAAGTTGTGACCTTTTTTCAAAAATACATCTACTTACTTTCTCTTTTAAAGAATCTAACAGTTCTTAAACTATAGAAAATTGGAGGGAAATTTAAAGATCTTTCTATACTTGAACTGTTTTTAAAAATCTGTGTAGATATAGGAAGATTCACACAATCAAGCATATTTTGAAGTAAGTTCCCTGAAGAACATGGGACACTATAGCTTTTCCTCTAAATATTTCAAATATTTCTTCTAAATTTTACTTCAATTTATATCATAGGAAATCATTTCACAAAGAGGAGTGTCACCAACATCTGAGAAAAGATCTGCCATTTGCCTATTACATGCACAGTGTAAAACCTTTAGCTGGAATTTGCAAAATTACAACTGAATTAAATTGTATTACGAAGCATTTCTATTTATCTTGCCCAAGACAATTTAGCATTAATATTCCATGACATTCTAAAAGTATTTGTCAAGATTGAAAGCATGCCTACATTAGAAATATCCAAGAATTAGCTTTTATTAAATATATTGTATTAAATTAAAATCAGAAATAGGCTTAATGTAATAAAAATACCCATTTACACTCTGACATTAATACTTCTTAATAAACAATGTTTCCATAGAAGCAAACTAAATGTATTGATGACCATATATATATTAACTTTCATGATTAGAAATAATTGTAAAGATTTAAGGGCGACCTTGGCTAAATTCTAAAAGTGGATGGATATTAAGTTGGCAAACATGCAATTCAGACTATTTGAAGTATAATAGAATTTTAATAATAAATAATTAGAATATTTATACTAAATGGAAATAACAAAATCCAGATGCTATAAAAGTTCGGTATATCACACAGAATCATTGTGCTTCTATAAAAGCTTCATAATGAATAAAAATAAGTTCTCCGAATATGCACGTATATCTTTAATACATTTTCACTAAATGTGCCAGCCAGCCAGATCAATAATCACAGTAAAAATGAAATATTTACTGCTCAAAGGCTGATTTGATTTGTCTTCCATCATTATTTTTCCAGGATAACTGATTCAAAAAAAAAAAAATTAGCCATATCACAAACCACTCTAATAACAAGACCTTTTCATCATAAGTCTAATGAAACTGAAGAAACATTTATGTTAGATGAAATATTACACGGTATTCCATATAAATAAATTTCAAAACTCACCTACAGTTTGGAGGAGGGTCTAATGTAATTTCTGCAAGTTCCTTCTGAATCCTTAAGAGAAAAGAAACACAAATTAAAATGATAGAACTATGTTTAAAAAGTTTCCTTCCAATTTTATTGAAGGTAGTTAATCACAGGGAATAAAGGGCTTTAATTATAAATTAAAAGGCCACATCATATAATTTTATATCTCGGCATTCTTACTGGCTATGAAGTTGAAGGGAAATTCTTATAGAGAGAAAAAGTATAGCTTCCATCCCAAAAAACAGTGACAAAGAACATACTTATGACTGTAGATGTGCTTCACTCCCAACCACTTATCTGCTCCCCATCTCTGCCCTTTCGGTGCCCTGCAGTCTGGCGCTCCCAGTTGATCTCTGCTGTCTTCTAGTTTCCACTGCAGATCAAGATCATCTGTCCTGGCCTTTCGTAAGGCATCTACTAGCCTTCTGAGGTTTACTTTCTGAAATCATGTGCTGTTTTCTTCAAGACCTTCTTGAGGAGGTAGGCCTTGTGTGGCCAGCAACTATCTCATGAAAGGCCACTGCAAATATGCCCTCTTAGCAATATCTGAGCAAGAAAATGATGAAAACTGTGGCAGTAGAAGATTGCCTGTGCACAGGATGTCAGGGCCCTTAAAGTGCAGTGACTGGGGCTTTGGCTGCACTGTTAGGCTTGGGTGGTTGAGGCTGCCAGAGATGGCTGGTACTTCATTGCAGTTAGAACTGTGGTGCACCAAGAAACCCCTGAGCCATAGTACAGCAAGCAAACCTAGAACAGTACAGTTTTGAAGCTGCTTGCCGCCCATAATATGTGTTATGTTCCTTCTTGCTTCAAATGCCCTACTATCATCCCAGTGCCAAAGAAGCCCACTATCAAGGAACTGAATGACCACAGACCTAACATCTGTAGTCATGAAAACCTTTGAAAGGCTAGTGCTCTCCCACTTGAAAACCATCACGGATCCACTGTTAGACCCCTTGAAATTTGCATACCGAGCAAATAGATCAACAGACAATGCTGTTAATATGCTCTGCACTACATTCTACAACATCTTGAATCTCCAAAGACCTACACAAAGGTCCTCTTTGTAGACTTTAGCTCAGCATTCAATACCATCATTCCAGACACTCTTCTAAGCTAAACCAGCTAGAGGTACCAGAACACACTTGTAAGTGGATCATAAGCTTCCTAACAAACAGGAAGCAGCAGGTGAAGCTAAGCAGAATCACATCAGATATCTGTACAATTAGCATAGGGCCCCCCGAAGGATATGTGCTCTCCCCACTTCTCTCTATATACCAATGACTGCATCTCTAACAATCCATCCGTTAGACTATTGAAGTTTGCAGATGACATAACAGTGATCGGTCTCATTCGAGACAATGATGAATCCGCAAAGAGACAGGAGGTTGAACAACTAGTCTTGTGGTGTGACTGGAACAATCTGGAACTGAACACACTCAAAACCGTAGAAATGGTGGTAGACTTTAGGAGAAACCCTTCCATACTTCCACCTCTTACAATACTAGACAACACAGTATCAACAGTAGAGACCTTCAAATTTCTAGGTTCTACATATCGCAAGATCTAAAATGGACACCTAACATTAAAAACGTCATCAAAAAAGCACAACAAATGTTCTTTCTGCGCCAACTCAGAAAGCTCAAATTGCCCAAGGAGCTGCTGATTCAGTTCTACAGAGGAATTATTGAGTCTGTCATCTGCACCTCTATAATTGTCTGGTTTGGTTTTGCAACCCAACAAGACAAACACAGACTTCAGAGGATAATTAGAACTGCAGAAAAAAACAATTGCTACCAATCTGCCTTCCATCGAGGACCTGTATACTGCGCGAGTCAAAAAGAGAGCTGTGAAAATATTTACAGACCCCCTCACATCCTGGACATAAACTGTTTCAACTCCTATCCTCAAAATGATGCTATAGAGCGCTGCAAACCAGAATAACTAGACACAAGAACAATTTTTTCCATCACTCTGCTAAACAAATAATTCCCTCAACACTGTCAAACTATTTACTAAGTCTGCACTACTATTAATTTTCTCATCGTTCCTATCACCCATCTCCTTCCACTAATGACTGTATGACTCTAACTTTGTTGCTTGTATCCTTACGATTTATATTGACTGCTTCCTAATATGATTTGATTGCTTATTTGTACCCTATAACTATCATTAAGTGTTGTACCTTATGATTCTTGATGAACATATCTTTTCTTTTATGTACACTGAGAGTATATGCACCAAGACAAATTCCTTATGTGTCCAATCACACTTGGCCAATAAAAATTCTATTCAATTCTATTCAAGGCATGGTGCAGGATGGCAGAGATCGGGGTAGGTGTGAAGGCAACTAGTGGGAGTTAAAGAGAAAGCAGTCCTTATTTTGAAAGAACAGAGACTAGGGACCAAGCCAGAAACAGCTTGGATTGAGGTTGATCCTTGGAGAATGATTAGTAGGATTTGGGTAATAATGGCAGTGGATCATGGTGGTATTGTTGCTGCTAAGTGATGCAGACATGTGATGTCAAGCTTTGTAACTGTATTGTTTAGGAATGGAAATCCTAGTCCCAACTCCCAACATAACTCAAGAATACCTATAATTTGAAAATAAATGAATAGAAAACTTTTTAACTGAATAAGAATTAAAGTTCATTTATTTCTACTCAATACAAATCCAGGTCATGTAATGGCTAATATCTTCTAAAACAAAAATTCTTAAATCAAATGCCCTGTAACTCCAGTACTCCTCAAATACCTAGAAAATGTTTCATGAGATCGTCTGCTTAGCTACATTTCTTTCATCCCTATTAGTTAACAGGATAGGCATGACTAGTATTTGCACTCAATTTATGTTGGATGCTTAAAAATATGTAAATGATTACAATGTCAAAAATGAAATATATGTATTGTATCAGATATAGTTCCCTATTAAAGTCTATTTACCCCATATTTTTCGGACTATATTTTTCGGACTATAGTCCGGTGCGACTATAAGGCGCACCAGACTATAAGACGCACCTTAATTTTTGGGGAGGAAAACAAGAAAAAAAGAATTCTGCCTCTGCCTACCAGCATCAGGATCAGCAGCATCCTCACTTCCACTTGGATTTTGATAACAGGTAGCACAGATCGTTTTATCCATTTAAAACAAACTACCCACTCCAGTTAAATGCACGTAGGGTGATAAAGTTTGTTTTAAATGGAAAAAAAGATCTGTGCTACTTGTTATCAAAATCTGAGTGGAAGTGAGGATCCCCATCTCCTGCAACCGCCGGAAAATGCAATGCGCAGAGGCTGACAACTTCTGAAGAGTGGGGGCCGGCAGGTGGGCAGGGCTACATTCGGTGTATTTGACACACCCAAATTTTCACCCTCTTTTAAGGGGGAAAAAGGTGCATCTTATACTCCGGAAAATACGGTACTTACAAATATGTTTGTATCAAATTTTGATTCTGGGAGTAAAGGTGTTATGCAAACTGGATATCCATTGATTTTTTTCCTGCAAATATACTTTCCCATATTAAATGCAAATTATGTTGGCCTTTTCACCAGATTTGAGGCACATTCCTCCAGGCAGTAGTGGGTTTCAATTTCGTTTGCTATCGGTTAGCTCATGGGTGTAAGCACATGCTTCTGTGCATTTGCAGAGACATCTGGGCAGGTGGGCAGAACCTCCTGCCGCTGCTACCGATTTGCCTGATCCGGGGTGACTCCAGGGCATTGAGGAGAGGATAGAATACTCTGAATGGACTTCAAACCCTCTATCCCCTCATCTGCAACCTGAGGAAACCAGCAGAAAAGATTGCAAATGACACTCACATGATCAGACAGCACTTATAACCAGTCATAAATGTGAACAGGTTGCCAAGTGACCAAAATGCCAACATGTACTGTAATTGTGCGGAGAATGCCCAGAAGTGATTTATTTGCCATAAAGCACCCATTTCTGAACAGAGTGATTGTACATCATTGTACATTTTTGGGATGAATTGACAACTGATTTAACAACTCTAGTTAAAGGATCAGCATATTCAATTTTGGACCCTGTAATACAATATTTATTTGAACAGGTATAAGAAATTTGTAGATGATGCAAAACTGAATAGTACAACTAATACCCTAGAAAGCAGAAATAAAATGCAAAATAATCCTAGTAATTTAGAGAAAGGGGTTAAAAATAATAGAATGAAATAAGCATAGCATAAGTATAGATATAGAATAGTCGGATTAGTAAAATACATTTGAAAAATACACTGACATCATTAATCAGATATTGATATGAAATTGCAGTATTATCTAACTGCAAAAAAGACAACCACAATCTTTTCATCAATATAGTTTGGAAATATAGTTTCCAAATTATGGCAAGCCATAAAATTGTTCTTGTCAACACTGGCTATATTGTGTCCGGCTCTGGGTACCACATTTGAAGAATGTTTCGGTGGAACCGGAACAGGTGCAAAAAAGAAAAACAAGGATGATGAGGAAATCGAAACTAAATGATTGAGGACAAAGTTAAAAAAAAAATTAGGGTGGAGTTGAGCCTTAGGAAGAAAAGACTGAATGAGGTCTTGAGAAATCATAAAAAGAGTTATTGTATAGAAGAAAGCCACAACCCATTTTCTAACAATTTAGTTTATAAAGCATAAAGTATTTTAGTTTTAAGAAAGCAGTTAATCTTTTGGGAGGGAAAATAGAAATAATAATTTGATAGCAGAACCAATTACCTATTAAATTAAGTCATCTCTTAATTAGATAACTAAGATTTACCTATCTACATTTTACTGGATGTTTTGAAGCAGAAATTATATGCACAGTTTTAAGAGATACTTTAATTTGAATTTCTGCACTGAACAAAATGTTAAACTTAATGGCTTAAATGTGTGCATGCACTCACACATTTGCGCGCACACACACACACACATACACACACACAAACAGAATAAGTCTCATCAATAAATAGCTATGCAAATTCCTGATAATTTTGTGCTTAATTCAATATGTAAATGATTAGATTTAAAGTCACA